TCCTCAGACTTATTACTTATTTCACTCAATGACAAGAAAACAAATTTTTAACTAAGAAAATATTTTTATTGTTTCAGAATTTTAGGTTGAAATTTTGCTCCTCTTTAATCAAATAAAACTACCCTAATAATTAGATTGTTTATTGTAGACGCTGCAGTTCTACGTTTCCCCTCCTTCCTGGACTTCACCACAGCTTTAGCTCGGGTGTTCATCAGGTTGTTTTCTGCGCAGAAGAGGGGCCTCTTCTTATCTCATCGGTCAATTCAGGAAACAAGATGCACACAAGCGCCGCCGCCGACAACACTCATCTGTCAAGACGCACCGGCTCAATTAACTGTACGGCTCAGACAGAGCTGAACAGCTGACACCATGCAAGCTGAGCTGTCAGCCGCAGATGAACAGAGAAACCCTGAGAGCCAACGAGAGGGGGTTTTATGTGAATCTGTGCTTGTGAAACAATGTTTGTTTTGGCCAACGTTACTGTCCTCGTTTTGTCTGAAGACGGGGAAAAACAACAGGAAACAGAATGTCAAGCAAATAAATAAACACTGAAACAAAGACTCAAACAAACAGATGAAGAAGATGATGGAGGAGGAAGTGGGGGATGCTGGATGTGTGTTCTGCATCCCAAGGGATCACTTTACTCAGTACAGACACGATACTGCAGGACAGGGCACAACGAGGAGTTCATTGGACAGAATCTCTCCTGGAGGAATAACCACACTGACTGAAGAGGAGAGGAGGAGGAGGGTGATGGAATGAGAAAAAACAAAAGCAGAGGGGATCAGGAAGAGGAGAAGTATAATGTCCACCTGGTTCGTGTCAAGAGGGGAAAATCAAACGTTAGTGTAGCGTTAGCCTAACGCTGAGGACACAGAGCCGATCGATTTGTCGACTGATAAGGACCCCTGTCCCACGGCTCGGGCAGATTACCCGGATCAGTGGCTCTGCATCGAGCAGAAGTCGCTCAGGAAAGAAGATTTAATGTGTTGCATACACAGACGTGCTGCCGGGGATTAAAACGTGCTAATTCTTCACTAACAAGTTCAGTTTAGCCACTTGCTCGACCCTAAAATAAAATAAATTGTTTTGCTGCTGCTGATGAAGCCACAAATGTCAGAAAAGTGACCTAAGGGGTAAAAATTGACACGAGGAAATGATTGTATTTTTCAAGACTAAAATTGTTTCATAAGTATATTTCGGCAAGCTTTGTCTTGGTCTTTGTCCATCAGTCCAGGAAG